CAGCTTTTAGGGGGCATGGGGACTGCTAAGGTAGGCTCTACCTAACATTCAGTTTCTGCTTGACCTTAAGAGGGATGCAAATCCACAACCCCACTTTACAAGGGGACACCTAACCATCAAGCCTGTGGCATCCTTTAGGCCACAGTGTTGTGCTGGGACAGAGGGCAATGAAGGGTGACGTGCAATGCACAACTCCTGTACATATGGCAGCTGAACATGGATCTGACTGTCCAGGCTTACTGTGCTCTGTCCCTACTTCATTGCTCTGCCTCTACTTCACACTCCACACGTTGCTGACCAGTCACGAAATGTGTTGATTTTTTTTGGAACAAAGCCCTGTGCAGTTAACAAAAGGGCATACTTGAGGTCAGAGAAAATGTCTCAAAGACTCCACTTTTATCTCTTTTCACTCTGCCAACACACAATTATAACCAGCTCTGCACTCCCAGTGCAGGTTACCAGTGCTGTCTGTTGTCCTTTCTCCAGACCCCAAGCTCTGTGTAAGTAGAGCTTCCAGCTGTGACTTTACACTCAGGCTTCCAGTTCCAGCAGCCCTGGCAGGACTGTAGCTTTCACCAGCACCACATGCAGCTCATCCCACTCAGCAGTGGGATTCCTCAGTCCCTGTGTGATCCCAGCTTCCAGGTGTGGGTGCCACTGAACAACTTATGAAAAAGTAGATTCATGCAACCACACCATCATTTCCTTCAGCTTACTAAAAACAGTGGCCTCATGCCACTCATGCAGTTTCTATTCCCGTTTGAGGAATCCTTATAGCAGATAACTGTGGTGTCTGTCTGGCCCCAGTTGCTTCCCTCCAGGGCAACGCAGCACTACTCCTCTCAGGAGGCCAAAACGTCTCACCTAAAAACAGCTTCTGCAGTTGAAGTAACCCACACTGAAAGGAGACTTTGCACAACAGTCACAAAAGAACCACCTTGGCAGACTTATTTTTTAAAATTCTTTCCTGCTGGCAGACACATCAAACCCCACTCCACCCTGCAAAGGCACAAGAGCACCATAGTGCTCTCCCTCCAGCATGATACAGATGTGCTGCTGTTACTTGCCACTGCTGCTGTGTACATCTAAGTCTCTGTTTCAGACCAAGAAAACTAATGTTAAGTTTCTAAGAGAATTTAATCCATGGGATTTGTGGCTTTTTTAAGGAGAAAATACTTAGCTCTGGTATTAACACAGCAGCAGCAAAACTGTGAATTTATAATTCACAATTATATTCTGTGAATGACAGAATTCATTAGACTTGAAGATTGTTGGAAACAGATTTAATAACAGGCACCAACAGGGTGTTTTGATTGCAAATACCACATCAGTTGGTGTACAACTTGCTGCAGTCTCAAGTACCAAAATCTGTTTGCACCTGAAGCTCCCCTGCTCTGGTCATGCCTGCCCTGTCAGTTCAACAGTGGCACCATCTGATGAAGAGCCAGGAAACTCCTGTATAAAGGGGTTTCAGAAGGAGCTGTGAAATGTGAAGCTTCATGCAATCCATGCAATTCATGCATCATCTCAAACATGCAAGCATGATGCTCACATGTAACCAAGTGAGACAGCCACCCTTTTTAAACTTTTGCATTTTGATCCTGTTGTATGACTACTTGAACTTTGATTTGATTTTCCAATACAGAAATAAGACATTCTCCTTTGTAAGTTTAATACACACGTCGCACATATACTTTTCTCCTTGAGCAAAAAAAGTCAGCTTAAAAGACAAGTTCCCTGTGATGGGAGGCTACAGAAAACTCACACTTTGTACTGAAGGTCCCTCTTACTAAACTGCATAGAGAGCAGAGTTCAAACTCTCAGCTCCAATCTTGCTATCTTGCCATCAGTCTGCAGGAACCAAGCTACAATACATATGTGGTGAGACAGATTACTTGGGTTCACATCCTTAAAGAGTAGCTTTTGAAGATGTGAAAGCTAAATTCCTTTTGAAAACCTGTCCTATTCATAAGTAAGTTCTGCAGCACCAAATCTGCTCAGTTTTCTTATCTTTACTTCAGCAGATGTGCTCGTCTTGGAAGGCAAGAGAGCTCTTGAAAAATAAAATAGTTGTTACCGAAAGGGCAGAATACAACCAACATTTGCACGTGATCTAGAACAGAGAAAGAATGCAACTGCATGAAGTTTTCATAGCAGCAAAGCCTGGCTGCAGAAGGCTGGGAATAGATTTAATGATTGAACAAGAGAGAGAAAGAGGAGTATGTCCAAGAAAACCTGAGTAAGTTAGGTACTTGACTCCCCCTCAAGAAATTTTCTTTAAAAAAATTCAAGCCAGGAATTCCAGTATACCTGCTGGAACTCCCTGGAAGAAATTAAATTTTATGACTCACCAGGAATGTAACCCTCATTATCAAATGAGGCTCAGCCTGCTCCTGGGTATTCACTCTGTATTGGTGCTCAGAGTGGTCTGGGGTTTATTCAGTGACATGTGAAGGACTGGTAGAATAATGTCATGTATAGGAAGTTTGTCAACCGTGTGCCACACTAGAAATGAAACTAATCCCTTGCAGGCTCACAAAGTACTTGCAACACATTGTACATTAATTCCATAATAACAAGTCAGTCTGAGTGAGACAGGTTGTTCCCTACCAAATGTAATGTTTCTACATGGTAGCCAAAACCACCTGAGCTAAATTTGTTTCACCGTATGCATAGCAATGAGACATGAAAAATTCTTCACATAGAAGTACCTGAAAACTGAACTGCAGGTTCCCACAAATTCCCCATAATTGCCTCCTCAAAACAGTTGCTTGAAGAATACCTCTTTCTTAAGGTGACAGCCAAACAAGAAAGGGATATAGACATAAAGGGACACAGACAAACCACGTTTCAAGTGTAAAGAAAATACCATTATTCTTCCAGTTAGAAACTAGTAACCAGGCAAGATGACTGATGAGTAAAATGTCCCTTGAAACTGGAAGAAAGGATATAAGTAGTTGTAGAAAAGATGCAGCAGTGAGAATAGTCTTGTTCCATACATCAACCCTGAAGACAGCATTACCGTCAAACACATACCAGGACACTGTAGGCACACACACATGCTGTGATCTTATCTTGTGGACAAGATAGTAGCATTGCAGACAGGCTTTCCCAACAGAGTAGAGGAAAGATCCATGCTCCTGGCTCTTGTGAGCTTTGGGGAACATGCTCCATGTCAGAAGACGCAGTGAAAGCTAAACATTCAGACCTCAGATCATTTGGATAGATAATGGTACAAATTTTTACATGATCCTGTAACATTGGCAATACCTTTGTAATACTGGTTTGACGCTGCCAAGCAGGTGGGGCAGGTGACCAGCAGAAGAATCTGTGCTGACAAACTGCATTGCATCTAATTCTCCTGGGGTGAACACTTTGCCAGAGAACTACCCTGCTCCAGAGAAGCCTTCTGGGCCAAAAGTTCACCTGCTTGCAGGGAGATGGGATCCCTACACCAGCTCTGCTGTGGGACATCTGCTTTCCCACTGTGGATAATATATTCAGAGGAAGAGAGCCTGGCTCCACAGAAACAGGGAACAGCTTTGCAATCATCACAGTTGTGGACAGGATTTTGTCCTGAAGGTGTGGCTGGGGCATGGAATGTGATGACACCAAACATCCCAAAGTACAAGCCTGCTCCTGGAGGGTGTAAGCAACACGGCAGTGTACCATGAAGTGAAACAGAGCACTGTCATGGTGCAGCTACATCACAAGACTTTTCATGAAGGCAGACAAAAGAGGCCAAAATACATATCAAGGGCATGGTTAAACTGTTGTCTGGTCCTGGTTGTAGTGTCTTTTTAATCAATACTTCAATCCATAATAAAATTCATTTTACAGGAAATTGCAGCATCTTCAATATCAACAGAATCTGTACCAAATGCATTCCACAGCCGTTTTCTGAATGTTACCTTAAATATTACATTAGGATGAACAGTACTCAAACAATTAAGTATTTCTATTATAACATTTTATAAAAGTGTATTTTGTGCAAAGCAGTCTTAAATTGGTACATAACTCAGGTGCATTAGTTTCAGAGTGCAGCTCTGTACCCCATTGTATTAGAGGACAAATGACAAGCCACACATCCAAAGACTAACAATTTTGAATTTTTATACAATGCACAGTGTCATCTTCCACTATCATACGGTGTTATGTACTTCAGAAATGAACCAAACATAACCTTCAAATGCACTGTGGCAAACTGTACTGGAGATACTGTGTTCCAACTCAAAGAAGGTGAAGGAATCTTGCTGTGAAATAACAAATCTGATCATCTTCTTGGTAAGACATTTCCCAGACTCCAAATCAAAGACTTGGCAGAAAGGTTCTTGAAAAGAAAGTTACGTTGTAAGCCTGGCACAGACTTATACCCTTTAAATTCATCTTCTTTGGTGACAGGCATAAAACTTAAAATTCTGGGTTTGTTTTTTAAAGGAAGGCAATCATAATGGATTTTTAAATATCAATTCTGATTATCTGCTGCTCCATCCCCCTAGCTTATCTGACCATGTTTCACTACAGGATTAATCATCAGTGCAAAATTTCTTACCTACAGACGTGAATAGTCACAGTATCAGGGTTAAAATCCACCACTACCTCACAGTTTGTATCACCCTCATGTCATCTGTCTGGATGTATGCTGTAAGTAAACATGACCTGATCTAGCCCACACTTGGACCAGGCAAGGCTTCCACAGGGGAAAAAGGATTGTTCTAACAGGATGGGCAAACATTCACTAAGTCCTCCTAGTGGGTCCAATTAGTACATCCAGTTGCATGTCCTTGCTACCTATTACTATGAAGCATTGTTCCTCATACAGCAGATGCCATGGGCTGCTGCAAGAGACTTATGCCAGAAGATCATCACTCTACAAATTCCCTGACTACCAGCACCTGGAGAGGTGAAGATATTTAAGCTAAATCAGAATAGAGTAGAAAAGGAGTTATATATGAGCCATTACTGTTCCAGCACCAGAAAGAGGCCTTCTTGCTGTTCACCTTCTTTTTATTTTACGTTTGTCACAGCTGAATTTTCCAAATGCCCTTGTGGTTAACCTTCTTTACAAAGTATAAATACCACTCCATTCTTATACAAAAGAAATACAGCTGTTTGTTATACAAACACAGATTGACAGCAATTCCTTGAAAGAGCAGTGCAACATGAAATTACAGAGCCAACGCCCACGGAGCACCTCTTTAGGCAGGCCAGGAAGTCTCTGCTGAGAAAGGCAATCTTTTAAGGTAAAATGCTTCAACTGAGTTCATAACATTTGAATGGGAAAATCAGAACTGTGTAACATGCTGTCATATCACAAATTAGTCATACTCTGGTTTACAAACTGTAGTTGCTGCATTTCACTGAAGCCATCCAATGCAGAATGGAATTGCTTAAATACATCTCACTGGCATAAGGAAGTAGCCTTGCTGGATGACACCTTATCAACTGAATTTTCAGATGTGGAATATACTTGAGAGTGAAATGAAGACACAAGTGAGATCACATAAGGTTTTGGCAAGTATTTTTATGTTAACTTTTTTTGTTTATGGCTTGTTATGGCTTTTTTGGTTTCTTTAGGAAATTCCTGCACAGCAAAAGGAATGAAGAATTCCAGAAGAGAGTTGACCTCCTTCAGTTCCAGACTGTATTCTGCTGCTATTTTCTCTGCAGTCCATATGTGAGGTTGAAGTTTATGATTATTAAGAAGTGTCAGAGCCTCCACAAGGGAAATTTTACCTTTGGGAACTTTCTTAACATCTAGACCTTCCAAGTGGCCTAATTTTGTAAGTCTCTTTTCCTCTTGTTTACTTGGAAGATGTTCACCACCTCCATCTTTTACCTAATTGAAGGAAGGAAAACAAAAAGAGCTCAACAGCAGTTCTGTTTACTATGCATACTGTAACAGCTAAGCTGCTTTCCTAAATACTTCTTCTGTTTAGCTTTTCCCGTTAGCTTTCCCCAGTTTTTAAAAAAAAAGCTTAGCCAGCCTAGCTTCTTCCATAGCCGTTTTTCAGAGAGCATCAACTCCCCAGCAAATGCTGAAAAGCTCCTATTCACTGCACTCTAAGTGTTGTATTGGCTTGGCAGCCCTTCATACAGGGCAAACTACAGATTCTGGTAGGCAAATGTAAATCCAGATAACCTAATATTCAGTACTGATTCATTGGAAAGAACAGAAAAATTATACAAAAAAATCGGTATCCTTCTGATACTACTGGAAAACTTTTTCATGTAGTCTCTCTCCTCTTCCTTTTGTTTTCAAATTTTAGTTTTCCTAATAAAAGAAATTCCTTCTTTTGCTCTGTCTAGAGAACAAGCTTTCCTGCTATTTTGCAGCATCATATGGAGTTTAATTGCCATGACTACTGCAACATGTAGACACACAAAGTCTCTTCTATAAGGTCCCTTCATATTTCCAAATAATCCCCAAAACAGCTTTCACTTCCTCATATTTCCTTCTATTAACATTTAATCAGTGAATCACACTGAAAAAAAAAAAAAGGCACAATTAAACCTTTCTTCAATTTAGAAGTATTTATACAGTAATCAGAGCCCAGAACCACTGATTATTACACAGACACTCTGTATTAACTCAGATGCTGAGAAAACGGATACCACAGCACCTGTGTGTCTGTTTCTGAGCTACAAGGAATGTCTGGCCTGTACTGCACATCTTTACTTTTTGCTAAAACTGTGCTTGGATAATGAATGATTTTTCAGCTCTTAATTAGATCATCTGTCTCTGGGAGTCTGCCACTTCAGGGCTCCCAAGCTGGTGCTTTTCCACTTACCACAGACATACACAGAGGTGTGTACACACAATGCACAAAGTCATCAGGATAACATCAGGAATGGGAGAAAGCTTTTGTACTGCTTTGCCCACAAGTCTCTGTTGAGCACTTCAGTTGTGCTCTAACAACTGCAAGCAGACACAGCACAAGGGCAAGTCTGTGGCAGCACACTCAGAGTAGGCATGGAATCAAACAAAGATTTGTTCCACTTTGGGCTTTTTCCTCAATCTCTCTTGACAGGTTTATACACGAATATTGAAAGATAATGAAATAAGACTTCAGCACTTCAAGATTAGAGTGCTAACCTCTGTGATGGAAATTAAAGATAGAAATTTCTTGGAAATTTCAGGTAGAGACTGAAGAAATCTATTTGCATTTTAAATATTTTTAGACTTGAATACCATGTAAGTAGCAAATTAGAGAGACTTAGGGATTTTGCTAAATGACTATAAAAATTTTGTTACTGAATAAAGCAGCTGGAATAAAGTGTGTGATAATGAAACAGGTAAAACTCACAAGCCATAGCACAGTATGATGGAAAAGAGGACACTGAACCCCAGTTTGCATTTTACAAAGGAGCATGCTTTGCCTTTCAAGTTAAAGATTGCAGCCAGTGGCAATAAGGAAATTATGACCACACAACCCACAAGATTATGTAGAAAAAAAACCTAAGGCACCTCATGAGCTGGATAAAAAAAGTCTCTGCACTGTATAACATTTAATGGAGTTAAAGACTCCATTAAAGACTAAACATCTTTGTCCTCTACCACATCCCTGCTCCCCCAGCAGTCCCAGTCTTTTCTAACAACTCCACAAATTATCTCTGGCAAACTACTTTATGTTTGCAAAAGGCTTGAGAAGTACCCTGCCTCATAGAAGCAGAAACAGGAATTTAGGTGAAAACAATATAAGAGCAACACAATGTTAAAAAGGAAGACTGTGTCAGCATTTACAAGCTTGTATAATTACAATCTGGGGTTTGAATTACAATTGAGTTTTTTTGAATTACAATTCAAAACCTGGGGTCAGACACAGTCAGTGTTATTGAGGTATAGAAGAGTAATAAAACCACCACTTTTATCTACTGAAGAAAGGTAGCTTTTATGCACAAAGAGCATTTTTCTTGACACAGCCTTTGTGCTGAGTTTGAAGACCACAAAGCTGATGTTTGTATGGCTCGTACAGAGATGCACTCACCCGCACCGGTGGATCTCTGGACTCAACATAAACATCTTTGAGCAAGGTGAGGAACCTATCGTCCTTTCTGAGAACTTCTTCTTTTATCTCTGGGCTATCTAAAGGCAGTGAGAAGAAGAAGGGAAGAAAAAGAAAAGATTGATCTGAGTCAAATCGTTTCCTCTTTGGTAGTCCTTCCCCAGCGGCACGGCATGGCTCCCGCAAATGCACGTATCTTCTTGAGAAGGTGTCATTGCTCCCACGGCCCTGACCTCAGCGACACGGCTTCACAGGGTGGGGCAGGGCCGGTCACCTGTCACAGCACAGGGGGACACAGCACGCCCACGCTCGGTGCTGCTCTGCAGCGCTGCCTCAGCAAACGCTCCGTGCCACACCGCTGCCACCACCGATCCCACCGCCTCCACCAGCTGTCCCCGGAACCAGCCGCGCCATCGACTGTCCCCAGGTCCTGACCCCATCAACCACCTCCACCGACCGCCCCTCGCAGCCGTCACAGCAACCGCGCCACCACCCAGCCCACCTCCATCAGCCCCCTCACGCTGCTGCCCGCTGTAACCGCCGCGGCTCCCGGCATGCCCCGCGCGCCCCGCGCCGCTCTCAATGTCACCGGCCCCGCAGCGGGAGCCGGCGGGCGGGCCAGGCTGGCACTCACCGGCCATGGCGTCCAGCCGGGCGGTGCGGTGCCGCGGCGCGGGCGTCGGCTTCTCCTTGCTGATCTCGCGGCGGGCCCGGTTCTCCACGTTGAAATTCCGGAACACGCGGGTCACCCGCCCGCCCATCGCCGCCGCCAGCCGCGCCTGCGCACGGGGCACGCCGGGCAGGGGCGGTGTGCGGCGCCGGCGAGTGCACCGGAAGAAAATAAACCGAGTACCGCGGGCAAACAAACAAACAAGCGAACGAGAATACAGACAAGGCGGTTCGCTTTGCACTTCACGGCGCCCAGGCGGCGCTTCCTCCTTGCCCTGGGCGCTGCCTCGGTCGCCGGCCGGCGCTGGCGGTGGTTGTGCCGCTGGTTTCCTAAAGGCGTGCGTGAGCGGAGCCCCCGGGCCGGGCCGGGCCGGGCCGGGCGGGTCCCGCCGGGAATGCTCGCAAAGCCGTCCGCTGCCCCGGAGTTTCCTTCCCAGCCGAGGCGACTGGCGGCTGAGCCCCCGGACACGTCATGTCGTGACTGTGGCTGCTTATTTATCGGCGGGGAAGAAGCTGCAGCGAGGGATAATTCCCCAGTACTGCTGAGAATTCGTAGGCTGCACAATGCTTTCAGAGCGCAGAGCCTCTTTTTTCAGCTCAACCAAATAACCTTCCTTTTGACTTCGCAAAAATTGCGAAAACTACTTGTAAGAAAATGTTGAGAAGGCCTTAAGCCGTGCATGATAAGAAAGGTAAATTTGTCGACAGAATCAAAATTGTTGAGATAGAATCAGCAGTTCATAGATTCAAGAAGTGAGAAAAGATACAGAATCCTCGGAGAAAGGAAGGCATAAACAGCAAGACTAAGAGCTACTGGCCTGATGCAAAAAGCAATAAAGCCTGATGGTTGACTACTTTATTCAGCCACGACTGATAAGGTGTCTTACCAACAGAGATTAATGACTCGTTCATTCCAGCTGCTGTGTGAATTAGCCAATAAGTAATTCCCTTACGGCTTTAAATTGTGTATGTGCTGTGTACAGAGTCTTAGTGCCTTCTGGGCCACTAGTTAGTTCATGGTAGTAGTTGCCTGCATGAAGTCACCTGGGGTGGGAGGGTTAATGAAGGACAGAGAAAAGACCGGACTTCTTGTGCTTTTTGGTGTTTTGTTTGTTTTTGTGGTTTTTTTTTTTGTTTTTTTTTTTTTTTTAATTTAAGGTGGAAAACACCTTTTTTCTGCCGTTGCATCTATCTAGTTTTTCTTATTATTGTGGGCATACAAACCTAGGGACCTGGGGTTTCAGAACTTGGTCTCCTACTACTAGCATTATATATTAATAATAATTATGATGTGATAGTTGTCAAGGCTACAGTGTGCTTTAATGCTGGATTAATGAATGGCTGTGTTTTCCTTAGAGAGAAGCCAAACAGATTTAGAAAGGTAGTGGAGACAAGGCAGCATAAACATGGTGTGTACTGGATTTCTGCTCTCTTTGGGAATCAGGAAGATGCAGTTTCTCCACTTGTTTATTTTAAAGACTCTCACAGTCTGTAGGAGGATAGAAACATGTTTTTGTTCTCTGGTAATAAGCTTACTGACCCTGTCTTATTTTAGACATTGCATGTAAATGAATTAAGGAGACCAGTGATACAGTGATAACAGGGAGCTGTTAAAATCTGCTGAAGTCAGACTGGTGACAAGTTTAATTAAATATCTATCGTCAATTGCTGACTAAACCTGTGTTCTTGAGTGCGGGATTTGCTACTTTTATAAGTGGTGCGTCTGTGTGGTGTGGCTATAATGGAACAATCCACATGGAAGCCTTTGGTGGTTGTAGACCTTTCATAGGTACTTTAGATTTGAATTCTTACTGATCTGTCTGCAGATCAGCTATTGTGGCAAATTTGAAATAAAGTTTCTCCTTCAAAAGCTAAGATCTCCCAGGTTGTGGAATCAAACTCAGCACAGGGCTTCTGAATTCGTAAAGCCTGAATGTGATTAACACTGCTGTAATATGTACTGACAGCAAAATAAATTCACCAGAAAGCAGTCAGTTAAAAATAAAGAGTGATGTCATGCTCTGCCTGTCACTTCCTACGACTGAGGATGGCACAAGACTGTTCTTTTCATGTATAAAGATGCATCAAAAGTTCAAGATTTTTATTCTGAAGAATCTTTCTTAGACTGTAGCAAGCAGAAGAACCAAGATTGAAAACAGTCTTTTTAATATAATTTGTATTTTACCAATGTGACCATATTGATATTAAATATCAGTAATCAAGAGGTTGGATTTTTTTTCCATATAAAGCATCTGCAAGTGAGATGATTAAAAAATGAATGTATGTGTACTCAGCTTAGGTAAGAGTTTCAAATGGGATGTACTTTTCTTGAACGAGGAGTCTGAATTTTTCCAGGAAATTAAAAAATAACAAAAGATCCCATGAGAAGAACAGAGACTACCAGCTGGATTCATACACACCTATTCTCAACAGGTTCTCACAGCAGCCTGTTCTCAACACTGGACAGCACCAAACACATCAGAGAAAAATACTGTAACTCTCATGATGTATGTGTGCCATAGGCTGCCACACTAGATCTCCTTGTAATCCTTCCATATCTCTTAAGAGTGAAATTTCTAAAGCTACTCCATACCTGGAAAGTAAGAAGTATGTTTGTGACTGTTCTTTGAATCTTTTTCGTTTTCCATCTCAGTTTTGATTATATGTTGTATTTTTTTCTTTCTCAGCTAGTTCTGTCGCTGAGTGGAAAATTAAAAATTAATTTTTGTATTTAACTAGCATCAAAAGTCTGATTGACTTATTGAAAATTCCCTTTGGAGAAGGAAGAAAAGGAAAATCTGTTGTTAATTTGTGTTACTGTGTGGTTCTACTAAAGTTTCTTTGTTGTCTTTACTACTCAGAAGTTCAGGAATCAGAATATGAGTCCAGACGGGCAGGTAATCTCAGTGAAACAAGAGTCTTTTTTTGGTAACAGGTGCTCAGCTGGAGAATTTTGGAGAGGAGGCAGGTGAGGTTTGCTTTGTGATTTGAGGTCTGGGAATGGCACAGCAGTTGACCGCAGAGGAAAATGAGGAATGCCCTTATACAGCAGCAGCACAGGTTTATGTTTGAGTCTGTCCACATTTTCTACCACTGAAACTGTTTTCCTATTCTTGTCTTTCTGTTGTTTTTTGTTCATAATTGATGTCAGTCTAAATGGACACTTGAGCAAATTCATGTATCATTAGGATTCAGGGAATTGAGTCTTCTATCCTGATTACTGGTTTACCAGTAAACACAATGAAAGCATTGATCCTTTTGTTCCTTATCTCATCAGTGTTAGGCAGAACCAGAGAACATAGCATTACCAAGAATTGATTATGAGCCAAGTAGAAATTACTGTCCTGCCACTTTGTAAAGATGAACTCAAGAGAGATGGACTTACTGATGGATCACTTTCACCTTTCAGTGATTTTTGGTTGTTCTGTTACTTAATTCAGATTATTTCTCTGTTGTTGGTTTCAACTGATCTATCTTTTAGTGGCTTCTGAAGTATCTACAGAAGGATCTGCATTGAAGGATTTTGCTTAATTCCAGTCTGTGATCAGAGTGTTCCTGAACAGTTGCATATTTTCAAGGCTAGGTGGCTGCAGTGCTTTATTTAAAGGAGTTTCTGTCAAGTCCTTATGTGGATGAAGTTTATGGCAAGTGCAGCAAGCTCAGTGTTACAGACTCATACACCAGCCCAGACAGTTCAGTAGCTCCTTGTCAGATAAGACTAATTTCAAAGACATTTCATTTAAATTCTCCTGATGGACTGTGGCTCGATATACCTGACATCATCTTCCATATTTTCCGAGTCTGATTATTGTTTTTCAATTAGCAGGTTACTTGGACTTGGAAATGCACAGTAGGAGCCAGCATATCTGAGAATGAGGCAGCCTGGAATTAATTAATTTAATCAGTTACACATGCCTTTTTACTTCATTTTTACTCAGAGGGTTCAGTACCCCATGATCTCTTCTCAGTTGCAATACGAGTTGAGACAACTGACAGCCCTATTATTTCTTGTAACCCTGGCTTCAGTTCATCCCTCTTGCCAGCATGAGGATGTGGGAACACCTCCAGGGCAAACAGCATCACACAGATGGTCTGATTTAAGAAAGAGGAGAGCTCCCATAATTTTTCTAAGCTGTATCAATCACACAGGAGGAACAATAAAAAAAAAAGCCTGGGACAGGAGGAGTATGAACACTGTGAACTGGTATTGCTGCCAGGTTGGTTGGTTGGTTGGTTTGTGAGTTTGCACTTTGCTCCCAGATTGTTTCCCTGCGGCAGTGACAGAAAAAGCTGTACTAGCTCCAGTGAGTAGGAGGTGAACCAGCAGTGGGAAGAGACTGGATGGAATGGGGTGGTGGCTGCCTCATCTTGGCCTGGCTTTGCTGGTGCTCCAACATCACCCAAGACAAACAACATCCTTTGTACTGACTTGAGGCAGTAACAGTAGCCATCATTTTACTGCACTGCCACTGCAGTAGCCCTCTGATTGTCCAGAAGAGAGTTGGTGAATGGAATATTAGCTATCTGCTGGAGTTTCTTTTATGAAATATAACACATAAAAAAATAGCAAATATATAACCTAAGTGTGCTGGCAAGATGCTCTTCTACAATAGTGTAATATTTTTCCATCCCCAAAGGATATTTCTGTTCTCTCTATATGGTTTTAATTTATGATTATACATACATATTTATACAGGTGTGCTGCATTTTGGTATACATAACTTTATAATTTAGTTGTGTTATCTGTGACTTGATGTATCAAGGGATTGATTTTCCTTGCTTTTATAAGTAGTTGCAGAACCAGTTTTATTTATTCATTTTACACTTTAATTGCATCCATCTGCAATTTACAAATTGGGTATTTGCAGGTGTGAATTACATGAAAAACTCAAGTCTTTTATTTACCTGTGGGGAGCCAAATTTTGTGTAGAACAGAAAGCCAAAATGACCTCAGTGAACACTTCTAAAACCATTTTATATATATCTCAGTCCTAAAGAAGGCTTATATATAGATCTTAAGAAGCTGGAGAAGTTACAGTGTGGTTTAATAGCTCAGTGGCTTAATCAGTGTTATGCTGGGTAAGTAGCATTTGAGTCCATGTCCTGTACACTATACCTGTATTTTTTTAGATGCAGT